CCCCCCCCCCCCCCCATGAAGTGCTAATTGATGAGGTCACAACTGACATTTCTAGTGATTACTATGGCTCTGAAATCTATGGGCCCGACCCAAACAAGACGAAAGAAGATATTCAAAAGCTGCTGGAAAGCATCAGACCCGACTCTGAGATTGCCCTACAGAACCGCGAAGGAACCCCCGAAGCTCTCAAGTACACGCTGCTAGAGCACCAGAAGTTGGGGTTGTCTTGGATGAAGTCTATGGAAGAGGGCGACAATAAGGGCGGTATCCTTGCGGATGATATGGGTCTGGGGAAGACCATACAAGCTATTGCTCTCATAGTGTCCCGCCCATCGACTGATCCCGAGCGCAAGCCTACCCTAATCATTGCTCCCGTTGCGTTGGTGCAACAATGGAAACGAGAGATTGAAAGGATGGTTAGGCCTGGAAAGCACCAACTTTCCATTTGGGTATTGCATGGCGATAAACGGCTCACAACTTTCAGGGAACTGAAGCGGTACGACGTGGTTCTGACCACCTTCGGCACACTGGCCGCAGAATTGAAGCGGAAGCAGAAGTACGAGGAGCTAGAGGAACGGGATGTTAACCTGGCAAGGAAAGCCTTAGACAGTCTCCCTCTTCTAGGGCGGCGTTGTAAATGGTATCGTGTCATTGCAGATGAAGCTCAGTGCATCAAGAACCGGAATGCAAAAGCTGCGCTTGCATGCTGCCAGCTCAATACCACCTACCGCTGGTGCATGACAGGGACTCCTATGATGAACAATGTCGAAGAGTTACACTCGCTGATCAAATTTCTGCGCATTCGGCCATACTGTAATATTGAGACATTCAATCGCGTGAGTATACCCTGACCCTATTATGTATATTAACGGAAGGATGGCTGACCCAAATCCTAGGACTTCACCCGGCCACTGAAATCTAGTCCCGCCATGCGCGAGAAGGCTATGCTTCAGTTACAGGTCTTGTTGAAGGCCATTCTTCTGCGGCGAACTAAAAGCTCCGAAATCGATGGTAAACCGATTTTGCAACTACCGCCCAAGGTCTCCGAAAGAGTCCATGCTGTTTTCAGCGAGGAGGAGCAAGAGTTTTACAATGCTTTGGAGGCACGCAGTCAAAATGAGGTCAACCGGTATCTCCAACAAGGAGTTGGGCGCAACTATTCCAATATCCTGGTTTTACTCCTTCGACTTCGACAGGCGTGCTGCCACCCTCATCTGATCAAAGACTTCACCACCGAAGTTAATGCTGCCGAAGAGGGCATGGATCTCATCGCCAATGCGAAAGCGTTTAGCGCTGAAGTTGTTGCTCGGCTTAAGGACAACACCGAGTTAGAATGCCCGATTTGTATAGATGCTGTCGAAAATCCCGTCATCTTCTTCCCTTGCGGCCACGGAACCTGCGCGGAGTGCTTTTCGAGAATATCTGACCCGGAAATGGCCCTACGGAGCGGGCGCGATGACGGAGGCGAAGTGAAATGTCCCAATTGTCGCGCGAAGGTGAATCCAAAGAAAATCACCGATCATCAGTCGTTCAAGAAAGTGCATTTCCCTGACCCATCCGACGAGGCAGATGGAATTGATTCTACAAAAGATACGGAAGACGCCAACGACGAGGATAGCGACGACGACAGCGATGATGATAGCGACGACGCTGGAGGTTTTTCTCGGTTCATTGTCAAGGACGATGATGAGGAAGAAGGTCCCTCTACGAGGAGCAAGCGAGCGAAGGGCAAGGGTAAAGCCAAGAACAAGAAGTCCCTTGCGGAACTCAAGAAGGATGCTCAGAAGAATAAGAAATCGAAGCTCAAGTACCTGCGTCGCCTCGAAAAGACCTGGATGTCGAGTGCCAAAATCGAAAAGGCCATGGAGATCTTGCGCGATGTCTACCATCGAGAAGGCAACGAGAAAACCATCATCTTCAGCCAGTTCACGTCTCTGCTCGACTTGCTGGAGATTCCGATCGCTCGTCAAGGATGGGACTACCGACGCTACGACGGGAGCATGCGTCCAGCAGATCGAAACACGTCCGTGATGGACTTTACCGACAATGAAGACTGCAGAATTATGTTGGTGTCGCTGAAAGCCGGCAACGCAGGCCTGAACCTTGTCGCAGCATCCCAGGTCATCATTTTCGACCCCTTCTGGAACCCCTATGTTGAGGAGCAGGCAGTCGACCGTGCCCATCGCATTGGACAAGTTCGCCCTGTTCAGATCCATCGCATTGTCGTGAAGGATACCGTCGAAGACCGTATCCTTGAATTGCAGGATAAGAAGCGGGAGCTTGTTGAGGGTGCTCTGGACGAGAAGGCATCAAGCAATCTCTCCAGACTCGGAGCCCGCGAACTCGCATTTCTGTTTGTAAGTCCACCGACGCCCAACTCGTATGTTGCTTTTACGTATTTACTAACCGATCTGTTCCCAGAACATCCGCTCTTAATTATCTCTTTTACTTTGATCTGATATTCACATGGCGTTTGCGGATTCCCAGCACGACAAGATACCCTAGACCCCTTTCTCATCTTCACTTTTCTCTACCTACTATTATCGTTATTTGCTCCCAACAATATGTGTTCCGATCACTCAACAAGTTTCTGCACTACCATGTCATGTCTAGAATGAACTTTTGCTTAGTCTACTGTAGAAAGAAAGAAGAATGTTTGTGTCTTACATGATGACTCGGAATCAGACTCCCGAAACTGTTTATCTACACCCAGATCCCACCGCCCAATACCCTACCTAATACGTTATCTACCTGCTACTTGAATAGAGAAAAAAAATGAAAACAAACTTGCTCAATCGACCATGATCATCTCATTTTCAGTAAGACATCGCATCCACTAACATGTAAGTAGTATACACTAACATAACCACTCAACCTAAAACCAACAACCATCCCCAGAACCACAGATACCACACTACTAGTTAGTAATCATCAATATTATTTAGTTAGTAGTATAAGCAAGGATGTCAGACACCCAATCTCAACCCAACAACAACAACAACAACAAACTTGTCAGCCTGATCAGTCACACCGGTGACGTCACTGTGTTTTTGGGTGGGGGGAAAAGTCCACACTTTTCTTTTTCTTTCGATGGATCGGCAAATTATGCATATTGGACTGTACTATACTGTACATTGTGTGATGAGTAACACGCAGGGGTAGAAGTAATTGATACCAAACCAACGTGTAGATAGTTGGTATGGTGGGTTTTTTCTATACTAGGTTGGTTGGTGGGGGCTGTGACGGTGCGATTGAGTTTGTTGGGGGTGGGATTCGGTTTCGTTGTGAGGGCCTAACTGGCTATCTATCTAGGTAAGGGGGAGTTGGGGATGGGGGTAAACACACTGGGGTGTTCTGTAGATCGGTGTCTACTAAAATATGATTTTGGAAGTTTACAGCAGAGAACGAAGAGAATAGAGAGTATGTAAACTTTTTTGTCCAACAGATATAGCCGATGGACGGATAAACAGTGTCACCGTTATCAAAAAGGAACTTTGTAGAGATAATCAGAGTCTAGACTACTAGTGGTAAATATTGCAAATGCATAATCATGCCGACCGTTCTCGGGCTTAATTTCCTCCCTCCGCTATCATTGTATCGTGATTTGAAATCTTGCATAACGTACCCAGTTATTGGGACAGAACAGCAGCCACGAGCCCGAGCTCGTGACCCAGGCTCTGGTTCCAGCCTTCATTGATCGCGCGTTTACAAATCGGCGTCCTCCTCGTCGGGCAGGGGCATGTTGGCAGCAGCGTCCATCTCCTTCTCGTACTGGGCCAGAAGCTCCGGGTTGACTTGGACCTCGGGGGGAGCAAGAGCGGGGGCAGCAACGAATTCCTGGGAAATGCTTGTTAGCTTCCAGTCTCACCAGTGAAAGCGACCAATGACCGTGTCTGACTTACCAGCTGGGGGTTGCCGACCAACTTGCGAGCGAGCCAGAGGAAGGGCTTCTCGAAATTGTAGTTGGACTTGGCGGAGATGTCGTAGTACTGGAGGTTCTTCTTGCGGTGGAAGGTGATGGTCTTGGCCTTCACCTTACGCTCCTTAACATCGACCTTGTTACCGCACAGCACGATGGGGATACCCTCGCAGACACGGACGAGATCACCTAGAGTGAATTTGTCAATTTGATCCAGATTGCGCGTGGTTCGAGTGCTGATTTGTGGAAGCACTTACGGTGCCAGTTGGGGACGTTCTTGTAGGTGATACGGGAGGTAACATCGAACATGATGATACCGCACTGTCCGTTGATGTAGTAACCATCGCGAAGACCACCGAACTTCTCCTGACCAGCAGTGTCCCAGACGTCGAACTGGATGTTACCCAGGTTCTGGCAAAAGCGTTAGTCGGACCGGCACAAAGACGGCGGAATGGACAAAGCGGGGTTTCCGGCGGGGCATACGGTGTTAAAAGCGAGAGGGTGCACTTCGACACCGAGAGTGGCGATGTACTTCTTCTCGAACTCGCCAGTCAAGTGGCGCTTGACGAAGGTGGTCTGCAGTGAAAATTCTCAGTCAGTAATGATGTCTTGTCTGGGTGAGGTTGGGCGGGCGATGAAGTTTTCTGTTGATAGAGACGACGGGCAACAGAGAGGGGTAAACGCGCATGGCAGGAATGCAGTCGAGCATAAAGAGGCGTCGAAGAGGTGACATGCCACCTCCACCCGGTAAGCCATATAGGATAAGAAATTCTTGTTTTAACTTGCCTTTCCAGTACCACCGTCACCGACGAGGACAAGCTTGAAGGTCGGTACCTGAGCAGCCATGATGAAGGTTGGATGTGATGTGAGGGGTTGGAGATGAAGAGAAGCGATACAGAGTCTGCGATAGAAGTCGACGGAAATTAAAAGTCGACAGTGAGATGCGACACTCGATGGACGAAGCGACCGAGGGGAGTTCGATAGAACGAGGGGGTTGGACAGGGAGGAGTTAGAGTGGGAAGGTTATTTCTACCGGTGATGGAATTTTTGCCGTGAGTCGGTCGCCCAAGCCTGACGGCCACGTGATCTTTTTGGGCCTCAGGCAGCCACGTGCCCCGCAGGATCGCGCAAACTGCATTTATTGCATGCCTCGCTGTCGATCCACGCGGTTCTTCGCGAGTGAACGCTCTACGCTGTACGGAACTGATAGACAATGTCCATATAAACAGGTGCAATTTCATCTCTTGAACCTAAACTGAAACGCCACCCTGAATGCTTCCCTAGGTATTTCCCTGCAAGAATAAACACGTCGCGTTCGATCATGAATACATGTCACATTCCTCATAAAGTCCAATAGCAAGCAAAAGGGAGAAATCATAAACGAAAGTAGATCGTACCCGGCTAAGTCCTAGTATTCTAGGGACTATCCCAGAGTACAGTAAACGGCCGTCATCCTCGTGCCTAACCCGATGCCAGTCCACTACAGCGGCACGAGATGACAGCCCAACAGGCCCCGACCGCCCCAATCACGGCGAGGGACAAGCTGCAGGGACAAGTCGATGCTGCTGGAAGAACTCGGATCTTTCCTCACGACTTTGACCGCCACAGTGCGCTAGAAGACGTTAGCCTAGAGCGTTCTCCCGAGTGCATGTCCCTGGACTAGACGACTAAGAGGTTGGAAGCACATCGCCTACTTACCCCTTCACTCTGCTGCACTATCTCCGCCACCCTGGAGAGACGTTCATGGTTGAGCCAGTTGGCACTTCCGAACTCCCGAACGGTATCTCCAACCCTTAGACCTGCCTGGTCTGCGGGACTTCCAGGCACCACACTATTGACCTTTGCGAAGGGTAACCCAGATGCCCCAGTGCCGGAGGTATTATTCCCAGTCACACTAGGTTGCGACCCCAAGCCACCCGACTGTGCGGCAGTTTGCGCCCGCTGCAGATTGGCAAAGTGGTTGTGAATTCCTTTCTCCAGATGTGACATCACGTCTTTATGGTCATTCCGCAGTCGAATAATCCGGGCTCGAGTGGTGCGTACTAACTACTGTTTAGCAGACGCACTGCGGAGGCAAAAAGTAGTGACTCACTTTGGGCAACATCGATATCGTCTCGTGGGAAGCCATCGAAAGTAGTGAGAGATGTGTTCATATTAACGCCATGCTAGACAGAAAGCATCGTCAGTCGACATCTCACAGAGTGGCAAGGCTTATCCAATATCAGTTCAACTCACCGAGCCAAGGAAGCTACTCAGAGCCGAGAGTTCTTCTTCGATGCGTTCCTTTTCTTGCATGAGATCGACCATGCCGAGCTTGGACAGATCGCGAGGAGGAGCCCCTCCGGACGTAGGGCCGGAGGCTACTGTTGGAGCATGAATGTTGGAACCCATGGGTATTCCCATACTAGAATGAGTGAGAGGTGGTTTAGAACATCGTTGGTTGGATGAAAGATGAAGGATCGGGAGCGGCGAGAGCTGTCGCAGACCGATCCCGGAAAACGGCGGTGGGTCTTTCGGTGGGAAATCTGGGGGAGTTTCACCTTCTTGGCATCGCGCGCTATGAAGAGAACTGCGCAACACCATCATCCATTTCTCCCCATTTAATACAGTTGATACTACGTTATTGTAAATAAGTTGCCATAAAATGCTGGCAGGTATCTGTTACAGCTACATACTTGCTTGAAAATGCTAAACCAAACTGCTATCTGCTACTACTGTGCTGCCGCAAACTGATATCTAGAAGCCTCAAAAGTAGCATGAACAACATCTACCAAGCTGTGAACCGTCCACATCACTAATTCGACGCCTTGACCCTTTCTACATGAAAAGTACTGCTAAGGGTGCACAGATGATGCTGATGTCTGTCATTTCATCGATGGGAGCAACGAAAAGCCGTTACTGTGTGGTAGGACAAAACACATTGCAATTTGATCCTCAACCGAGCGGTGCGTGATGTATAGGCAACTTTACTCAAAACATTACCGTAAGCTTGTTTAACTCACTGTGATGGGGTTCATAGAATTGCTTTCGTTCACACTGGACATTTTGTTTCCAACACGTGAGCTCCCTCGGTGACAGCAAGTATACCATGCTTTCCCCATGTGATGGATTGTGCCAGTCGTTGCTTCCACTTGTTAGCCAGCATAACTACTCTTGACACAAGTGCTCTATTGCGCTTTTGGTCTTAAAGCATGACCTGTTCCTAAGCTGACATCGTCACTTGAAGTTTGCTCACTTCTCCACACAGTCTGCACCATGGAAGAATCCAAGGATATGGGCGATCCTCCCTTGCTGATCCTAGAGAAGCCCGAATATGAGGTGGAGATAACTGCAACGCATCCTATGCCAGTGGACCCTGTGGCTGCATTCAAGCGTTGGATGAATAGCTTCCGATCCCGAAGATGCTGTCCCCCACCCGAAAGATACGTCGAGGGTTGGCCAATGGAAGTCAAGCCAGATGACCGAGACCTTCTACCGGACTTGCTACCCTCGAATGAGTACCAGGAAAAACAATGGGAGTCCTTGTCTCCCCGTTCGTCCAATCTTGGAACCGTTAAGACGGCTACTCTGAGCATTACTAGCCAAAGTGTGGTACGGTCGAGGGGAACTACACAGAGCACAACAAATCAAAGTATAAGGTCCGATGCTCGTGAATCGCTAGACAGCATCAGACCCGCGTTGAATTCCTCAATAGATGAGGAAGCCCAACACAGGGCCATTAAGAGGCGACGTGTTCTCCGAGAACTGATCACTACCGAATGTGACTATATATTCGGCTTGAAAGCACTTGCGGATGTATGATTCTTCTCCAACTGAAGCATAGCCACGTGCTGCTCATCGCAGATAGCTAACATGATGTCCTCTGATCATAGGCCCTTTTCATATTTTCTGCCAGACCAGAGATTTACCACAATGTTCAACAGATCCGAGACACGCATGAGAACTTCCTTGCTCAGATTCGAAAGCTGACACCCATATCGAATTTGGCAGCGGCTGAGTTCGACAGTCTGATGCCTCGGGGGATTCACAAGCGTTTGAGTGCAATTGACTTTGGTTTGAGGACTTTGCATGCTAAATCTCTGCGATCACGCAGCTTTAGGGCTTCTATGGATTCCCGTCTCAAAGCCTTGGCTGCGGAGACAAAAGAAGCTTTGCAGGTTGCGCTAGAAGTCGGAAACTTGGTCAGATTCTCCATAAGCTCTACCAATTTGTCAACTACTAACTTGACATGGGTAGTCGGCGTCTTTCACAGCATACAGATTATTCTGTAAAAACTATGGCTTGCTCACAGTGGACGTTAACTTTCTCCGCCAGTCTGTACCGGATTGGCGTATATTCGACCAGGGTATTGAAGCTCTATCAAAATCGGTAACATCGTTGGAACGGCAGACAAAGGAGGAAAATAGAGCTATGTCTTTGAATGACCTTCTGATCAAGGTCGGGGATACACGTCCCTTAGTTATGATTCTGGATACTGACGATTAACAGCCGGTTCAGCGTCTGTGCAAATACCCTTTGCTGCTTGAGGAATTGTTACGATGGACACATATCCAAGACGACCCATCTGCCCATGACGGCATCCGACAGGTCCTCGAACAAGTCCGCGCGGTGGTGTGCGAAGTAAATCAAATTACCGACAACCCTGTTAGCAAGGCACTAGTGAAGCAGACGTTTTTGCTACAGAGCTTCATGGACCTATCAGCATCGGTAAGTATACCACGTCTCCCTACAGGATATGGAAATTGAGGTGATTTGAATCCATAGAACACGATCGATAACATCTACAAGCAACTGGGTCCTTTGAGCCTCTGTGGGGTTCTTCACATCACATACCAGACACCTGAGTATATTACGGGAGGATACATGGTCTGCATTCTATTCACCTATCATTTCGTGATTGCCAAACCAAGCAATGACTACCGAAGGCTTCAGGCATTAGCATGCCTGTATATTTCTGACATGAAGATCGATTCAATCAGAAACGGAGAAGGTGAGGAAGCTGCCTATGACGGTCGCCTTGTATGCTGAACTCTGCGATAGGTCTTCGTTGCTATGGCTGTTTGTTCTCGTGGAAACTGGTTTTCCAGTCTCTGGGAAAGAACTATGAATTGGTGCTCAGTGCTTCGTCAGCACGTGAAGAAAAAAAATGGGAAACTGAGATGCTCAAGTCTGCGGCCGTATTAACTGACATACCGAAGTCAGTAGTGGCGAAGCTGAAAGAATACTCATTCCTGTCTCTGGAGTTGGCCCCATTGAATTGCGGCAACGGTCCCCTGCCTCTCTTACCTCGCCGGCCATCTATGCAGGCACTGGCTACGTCGCGGACTCTACCAGATTCACAGAACATCATAATCAAAAAGACGCATTGTCCACAAAAACTCCAGATGACGGAATCTGTGGACGGGGAAATCGAGCGGCCAAAGATGTCTTCCTTGTGTCCAGCGCTTATACTGACCGCCAGGAGACAAGATCGGATACTGCTAGAACGTGCCATTTCTTCTTTCTACACGCGGGACGCTCTTCCATACCCTGGAATGACTCTGGGCAAGGGGGACATTTTTCATAGTCCTGGGTCCCTTATGAGACACCTGAGCCGCCGGCCGGGATTGTACCGACGCTCCAGCTGTGTGAGCCTCAGCACCGGAGGACATCCTCTTAAGTCTACTACAGAAGTGGCATATTCAGATGAGATAAAAGACCCTAGGAAGCTTGCAAAGAGTCAGGAGAAGAGTTTACGAAATGTATCTAGAGGCAAGCCAACAACTCCGGAGACAGACAAGGGACCTATCTTGCCGCGACATAGCAAGGAAAGCATTAGAAGGTCCAAGACATGGAAAGGGAAAGGGGGACCGAAAGCGACGTTCAAGGCTGAGATCATTCCGACCAGTAATGGCAACAAAGGAACGGAGACTCCCGACGGCTGTTCCTTGAAGGCATCTGCTATCCGGAGAATGTTCAATTCGATGTCCTCCCGACGAACGAAAAGACAGGGTCGCATGGGGCTTGGAAGTGGAGTGTGATGGAGGTGATGATGCAACTTGTGTGAGATTCACTGCAGTATTGCATCAGATGGCCAGGTACAAGTGTGTGGAATATGTATGGGGTTCTTAGGGATTCGTGTCGATTCTGAGGCGAGTGGGGGAGGAGAGATTGACCGGGGCGAAGCGAGACGTAATTAGTAGCATTAGCGAGCCAGAATGTCCGAAATGTCAGTGACTGGAATGATGATGATGCCGATGAGGGAATTGAATTCCATAGGGAGCCATGTTTCTCCACCGGGTGAACCAGAAGCGCAAGAGCGACTGCAGAGCATCCGCAGCATCAGTCGATGATGACGTCGGTGCTCCCGCCGCGACCAGGGCATCACTACACCCGCCTCGATGTATTTAAAGGCCTGTGTTATTCGGGAGAAGGAGGAATCAAATTAAATCCCATCTACTCAATTATCAAACGAACTCTCTACTAGCTATAGAAATACCCTTTGCACAACTTTCCTCACTTCAATTGCTCTTCCTGCCACTGTTTGCCCGCCTTTGTCTTCCGGTAGCATCGTGGTGACGTCATCTGCCCTCACCTCTCACGACACTCTTCAACTCACTTCATCTCAACTTTCCCTCTTCTCCATCCTCCTAGTCATTCGACAGATCATCGTCTCTAGCAGCTTCATTGAAAGAAACTAGATCGTTCTTCCACCTTTGTCTCAAAACAACTACAAACCACTACATACTACCAAGATGCCTCGCCACAACGACCCCACCTCCAAGATGTTCTACAAGGGAGCATCCGACGACTTCATCGTCTTCGTCGATGACCACGACGCCCTGAACAGATGGCGTGGTGACCGCTCAGTCCCTCTGGCGGATGTTCTTAACGGCTGGAAGATCTTTGTTACTCACAAGTAAGTCCTTGTCGTCTTTATGCCCTCAGCAGTGAAAGCAGAACTAACCAGCACTCACTTCTAGGCACGGAGCCCAAGGCGTCCTTGACGGAGCTAGCAAGGCTAGTCTCGAGAATGAATTCGGAACTGCCAATGAAGACGACGTTATAACCCAGATCTTGGAGCGCGGCGAGTACCAGTCTACTATTGTATGTTGCTTTGCTTTGCTTCCCTTGACCGTTCATGAGGAATAATGCTGACTGATCTGTGATACTAGGCTCGCGAACAACAAGGTGATACCAACTTCCGTAATGGACCTGCTTTCCGATAGATTCGTGCATGTTATTACGCCCTTGCTGGCTGGCTGGCTGGCCGTTCCCCCCTTGATCCCTTGATGGGTGGCGTGATGTGCAGAGGGGCAAGGATTGATAGTAGCATGATATCGACTGATCGAGCACATGATTATGCTTTTACTAGCGGATGAACATGATGCAGTGTAACTTTACCTTTCCTAGCTATCTCCCTAGGAAAAGAGGGTAATTGATAAATGAAATGAATGAAACATATATGGTTAAATCTATATTCTATTACCGTAGCGGAAAGCTTCTATATCTATTCTACTTTAGTATCATCACCACCAACTTCCACCTTCTCCCTTTCCCTCTCCCATACTTTCCTCCTCTCACAAACCCACCTCCCCAACTCATCCCAAACCTCCCTCTTCTCCTGCAACGACATCCCCGCCGCCAACCCACTAGTAGTCGTAGCCACAAACACCCTGGCCCCCTCCCACCCGCCTTCACCACCCACTCTCCCCATATTCATCTCCAAATCCTGCCACCCATACCTAAACTCTTCCTTCCTAATCCCCCGTCCAACCTTAACCCTCCAAACCGCCTCCCAGATACTCTTGCCCACAAGACACACCACTTCCGGTCTTTTCTCCCTCACCTTCTCTTCCAGAACCGGTACTCCTGCATCCATCTCCTTCTTGCTGAGCATACTCGCGTCCCGCGTCGGACGCTCCACAATATTCGTGTTGCCGATGTTATATAGTTCGGGAAGTTTGTATGTATCGGAGGGTGGGTGGCGGATGGGTGTGATCCCGGACCAGTGCAGGAGCTTCCAGAAGAGGTTGCTCGGGTGTGCGTAGGCGTAGCCTGTTACGCCCGTTAGAACCCCCGGGTTTACACCCACGAGGAGGAGGGTTAGGTTGGGTGGGATGGTGTCGACGAGGAGGGAGTCTGCTGCTGAGGAGGTGGGGGGTGTGGGTGTGGGGGTTTTGCGTGGGCGTGGGGAGGAGGTAGTCGTGGTGGTGCTGGTTGGGGTTGAGGTGGAGGAGCGGGAGCGCGAGCGGGTTATCCGTGTTATGAGTGCTGTTGGTGGTGTGGTTCGTTTGCGTTTGAGAGGAGAGGAAGTGCTGGTAGTGATTTGTTTCGTGGATGGGAGTGCTGGTGGCGCTGATGATGTGGGTTTTGCTGTGTGGAAGTATTGATTAAGACGACCACCAAAGCTGGTTTTTCTGTTGACGGGGACGTCGTTATCGTCGTAGTGTTCTTCATTATGAGCTTCATTGTCGTGACTGGGGGTTGTAGAGGGTATTTGGATCGCGTCGATGTCCTCGCGAGGACTGTCTTCGACTAGGGGCATGCTGTTTGCTAGCTGGCTGGCTGGCTGGCTGGCTGTAGGACTGGTGCTGAGAAAGTTGTCTGTGTTAGTGACAGTGATGCTGCAGATATTCGACCGGTTAGTGATGTTGATAGATTTATATAGGCATTATTTCAGGGGATCGCTAAAAGCTTTTCCTTGGTTGCTGGTGATTTGCCTCATCTCTTGTTCCTCGGTCTGGAGCGCTCCAGACGCTTAACCGTTTTGGGTATTATTGGACACGGGATCACGTGGATTATTTTTGCCTCAGTAAAGTGGCAACCAGGCATCAATAAAAGTACTGTGGATATGCCAGATTGGGCATAAGTACCAATGGTACATTGTTGTTCCACAGTGCAAAGCATTACTTGCACATAAATTTGGCATGTCGGGGGGGCCTCTTTTGTCGACTACGGATCATATGGGTGTGTTGTACAAGACATTCTGTACGATATATATTTTTCTGATTCCATGTAGAAATGAACTATAATACAGACAGATACATGCACTCTGGCAATCCAGGTAACAGAGTCCATATTTGCATAACTGCCACACAATCCAGGTCAATAGCTGGACAGTCATCACTGACTGAAAGAGGACCTTTTATCTGTCCCAACTCCAAGAAACACATATTACCGATATACTAGCACTGCTGGGTATCGTTTCATAAAATCATATCATATCGTGGTCGTTAAGTGTAAGGTGCCGTGTTGGTACAAGTCATGCTATACCTTGTATTCGCTTCGCTTCGGGAGTGTCCATGGGATAGGGCAAACGACCTATTGTCGGTTAGCCATGACATTGATCAAGTCGGTCGCAGAATACATACCTCGCCCTCGCTGTAGGCCCAGAAATACACCCCGATTCCAATAAGGTAGTACAGAGCAGGGTCCGTGCCCTGGTAGAGGAGCATGGAGAGTAGAGCGCTGAGGGGATAGAAGATCAATCGGAACTCGATGCTGCGGTGCGCGAGGGAGCCGGCAACATATTTCAAAGGCCATTCCCATGCAAGGCCGAGTAGGCCCAAAAGGAGGTTGAGAATTTGTAGCACAGGGACCGGGTTCACAGCGCCATTCAAATTGTCCGTCATAAAATCCCAGAACACCTTCGGCCAGATGAAGCCTTCGATCGCACCGCCGATTTGGTCTATAGATCCAGTCACGCAGATTAGCGTTGAAAGATGAAGTGGATGAAAAGGGACTTGTACATACAAGCTGAGGCTGTGAGAATAATAAGTCGCGCCCAGTGATTTTTGATGAGCCTTCCCATGGTAGGCAGACTCTGGAGTATAGCGGGGAGTTCAAGCGTCTTCCGTCCGGCGAAAGAGCTAGTTACTCAAGTTTAGACACAATGCTGTTGTCTCATAAACACAAGGATTGCTTTTTCGACCGTTGGTTAGCCCTCAACCATCCACCCGATCAATCAATGCCGTGTGTGCTATGCTCGTCACGAATGACATGGCAGGTGGAGTAATGGGACGTCAGTCAAGGTTGGTAAAGTCTTCCCCGGCAGTTTGCTGGTGAGGAGAAACAGTGTGTAGGACGGATAAGCTTTAAATCACAACAATCACATCACCACATAAACTTAATGCAAGAAGGAAATAGTGTGGGTTGAAATAATCATGTACTGCATGACAGAGCAAACTTCAACTGACAGACCAGGTAGTGATGGTGGCCATGGAGGGGGGAAAAGAGCAGGAATACATAGCTTCCGGCGCCAACGGATGAGACCACCTGATTTGCATCTTCTTCACGATAGGCCGACGCAACGGAGTCGCCGTCCTCCGCGCTTCCCCCTCTCAACGCCTGTGATACGTGGATGCGTTTTATCAACCGCTCTATTTTCAAGTCCAATCAGCTACAATGCCCTGCTGGAAGCGATCCTGACCCCCTTGACTTCTTCACGAGAACAACTCATGATTGGATGTGGGCGCTCGGTGTAGCGTGACAGTGCGAATGATCCTGGGAGCTTGGATGCTGGAAGCCCCATTTGGGCGCTTCGTAGCACACGATGCCAGCCATTCAGAACCAAAAGCTGACCAGCCAAACGGGGTGTGATGCACTAGCGACCTGACGGGGCGTGACGGTGGAGCGGAGGATGCAGGAGATTTGCGGCAACACACTTTAGCGGCCGATGCATCTCTGTCAGTTCCACGTTCCGTCCTCTCTGATTGACCCGACCAGCCATGGCGCTCTTTTGATGGCGGGCTATCTTGTGAAGACTTTGAGAAGCGGGGAAATTGGTGCCCAGGTAGTTGGTCTCTTCTTTTTCCCCCGTCCTTGTTGTGATCTCCAACGGGCGCCTACTGATGCGACAGGGAACCGCTACACAGCCATAAATACCCGCTGGCACGTCGACTATTTCGATTTCAAGAATACGCCTACTAGAAGAGGTACTGCGCAAATAAAAACCCAAGATAAACGAAGGATGTCTTGATCACAGGGAGACGTATACTGGAAGGAAGGCTGCTACTAGACAACTCACCGTCTTTTCGCAGGCCACTATCACTCAAGATAATTATAGCACTGTTAGCACTGTTCCTACCCACACGGTCCGAGTGCCAATCTGGTCGTCACTAGATGTGATGGGAATCTCAACCGTGCAGGGCCAAGAACTTAAACTTATGCCCCAGCAATATCGCCTGACTTCCCTGCTCAACCCACGCCAAGGACTCGCCCTCAGGAAATGCCAGGGTCTTCCATTCAAATTCCGGAGATGATTCTGCTTTAGACTAGTACCTGGATCATGAAAGTCTCGGCTCAAAATGTGAGAGCTATATTTGGTAGCAACCGGACCTTAATCTGCAAGTCGAGTCATTCTCCTGTCTGTCCAGACTGCCACAGAGGTGCGCTCCCCATGTCGATGGCCGCTTTGACCGCGTGTGACGGGATGCGCGCCTGCATAACGCTTCTCATAGGCTGGAATTGGCCGAGACTCCACACTTCACAGAACGAATCAACGGAGCAGCTGGAGAAAGACAGAAGAGTCGACTATGGATTTACGGGCCATTGATAGCAACTCACAATCCCGGTGCCACATGGTAAGGTTAGTGGCGGATGCCGGGAGATGAGGAGTTGGCAGTAGATTGAGAAAGACGGACTTTGAGCGACTTGACTCGCTATATCCTATCATGTCACTACTAAGTGCGCCAATCGAGCGCGACAATTTACGAGTCCACCGCAAAGGAAAACTCAATAGGTTGTGTGATTGAGACGCACACCAGGTGGTGGCCTTGAGATACGAGTGGAAGGATCATCTATCCAGTTAACGGAGGACGGTCAGACTCGAGCTCTCTTCACCAAAAAGCTGGCGCATCAGGCGATGGTTAATGCCTGACGGTCTTTTCTCCATCCCATTCTCGCTTGAGCCCTGTAAACGGTAAGTTGGGGGATAGTGGTGTCCAACCGGGCGATCCGCTCCCTGCAGGCTATCCTAGCGGCGCCATAAGTCCGCACAGCGCAGGGGTTGGGGTAAATATAGAAGCAGAAATCCTGATCCTCGTGTCCCTCATCAGTTCTTCCCCTCCTTTCTGCAACCAAAACCGTATCTCCGGGTACCAGACGCTTGACACAGGATTCTCAACTGACATCAACCCCACACCAGCCTACTCAGGAACTACCCTTCAGGACCTAGGCCCGTTTAAAATAAGAATGATATAATCGGACCTGATCCTTGTTCCTCGATTGGTCCCGGCCTTCTGCGATCGTCGGCTTTTACCGCATCCTGAACCTTTGGCCATTGACTCTAGCACCTGAGAAATCATATTCATGAGCCATTATTTTCGATAAGCTAAGGGGAAGCCTGTAATCTCTGTGAGTCCCTTGGACTTCAGGTGGCCTACCGCTCCTTTCAGCGTCCAAAGCGCCTTATCTACTGGGGACACAGGCTGTCGCTCTGCGCAGGCTTAACTTACTGCATGCTTGGAGCGAAGCGCCAGCTTTCGAGGGAGGATTCTATTTATGGATTCCTAGAGTAGTGTCCGCCAAATCACTCCTTTCACTTATGGTACGGGCGCCTTCGAAAGACACCCGGAAAAAAGCGCACCCAAAACATCCACTCCTTTGGAAAGAGTCATTGCTGGTCAATGATAAAGTCCGGCTAAAAAAGTCACTACATGCTTATACTGCCCGGATATCATGATGGAACATGCTTGGGGCTCATACGTTACTGCGTCAAAGGTTTGGTTCTACTCCATCTTCTGGGCGCTGCATTTTGTCATCTTTGCGGTGGGATGGTAAGTCTGAAGATCTCAGATGACCGCCTGTATATGTACTGAGAATCTTTAGGTACGTCCAGGCTTCGGACCAGAGGCTGGCTACGCTCAATACTCTGCAGTATTCCGTTTGGATATCACGAGGCGCTGGACTGGTGTTGACATGCGATGCCACCCTCCTACTACTGCCCATGTGCCGAAACCTTGTCAAAACCATAAGACCTAGGGTACGATGGCTACCACTAGATGAAACAGTATGGTTTCATCGTCAGGTAGCTTATGCCCTTCTGCTTTTCACCATAGTCCATGCGGCGGCCCATTATGTGAAGTAAGCCAATCCATACGACAACGAGGCTACCGTTCTAACAAAAGTAGCTTTTACAACGTCGAAAAAGATCATATCCGGCCTGTTAAAGCCGTGCAAATTCACTATACAGAAGCTGGCGGAATTACCGGACATGTCATGCTCCTTTGCATGATGCTGATGTACACCACGTCCCATCAGCGCATTCGGCAACAGTCCTTTGAGACGTTCTGGTATACGCACCATCTTTTCGTACCGTTCCTTTTAGCCTTATATACACATGCAACCGGCTGCTTCGTGCGAGACACAACAGAGCCTATCTCGCCTTTCGCTGGTTCTAGATTCTGGAACCACTGCTTAGGCTACGAAGGCTGGAGATGGGAACTAGTGGCCGGAGGATTGTACATGCTTGAAAGGCTGTACCGTGAGATCCGAGCACGACGCCATACTGTTATTCTAAAGGTGGTTCGTCATCCGTATGGTAGGTTCGACACCGGCCGATATGAGCTTTTGTATCCTAACATCGATACCCAGATGCTATGGAGATTCAGTTTCGCAAGGATAGTATGAAGTATAAGGCTGGCCAATGGCTCTTCATCCAGTGTCCTGATGTATCCAGCAACCAATGGCATCCCTTCACAATTACGTCCTGCCCATTCGATCCATACATTAGCATTCACGTTCGCCAAGTCGGTGATTTCACTCGTGCATTGGGTGACGCACTAGGATGCGGACCAGCGCAGGCCAGAGATATGGAAGGACTCGACCCGCTGGGAATGTATGAAGTCGCCCTGCATAACGGACAAAAGATGCCTAGACTGCGGGTTGATGGACCATACGGAGCTCCAGCCGACGATGTCTTCGACAATGAGGTGGCCGTCCTCATCGGGACGGGAATAGGTGTCACACCATGGGCATCTATCCTCAAGAATATTTGGCACCTACGGTCCGACCCTAAATTAGCCGGCCGTCTCCGTCGCGTCGAGTTCATTTGGGTCTGTAGGGACACCTCGTCTTTCGAATGGTTCCAAGCCTTGCTCTCCTCCCTTGAATCGCAGTCGGCGGCCGAAGCAGAGTTCAGTGGGAAGGCCGAGTTTTTGCGCATTCACACCTACCTCACACAACGACTAGATGATGATACAGCCGCTAATATCTTTCTCAATTCAGTCGGTCAGGCTGTCGATCCACTTACAGAGCTGCGAAGTAGGACGAACTTTGGCCGTCCAGACTTCAAACGCCTTTTCACTGCTATGCGTGATGGTCTACAAGACCAAACCTATCTATCAGGTGTCCATGGAAATTCAACTACGGAAATTGGAGTCTACTTCTGTGGTCCCAATGCTGCGGCCAGGCAAATTCGAGAGGCGGCCATGTCCACCTCAACGAGGGATATCCGGTTCAAATTCTGGAAGGAACACTTCTAAAGGGCGAGTCCTCGTCGCCGGGACTCCGTGTTTAGGGAGTCGAAAAGATGTTGAAGGTGTAATTGAAAGTACCAAGCTCACGATACGAATTAATGACTGACGACTCTCTTTAACTTCGTTTGGCTGTTGCATGTAACTAGATGTATCTATTCTTTGATATGCAGTATCGTGTACTATACGTCTCATGTGTGTCCATCCACTTGTTTTACTGCAGCGTGTGAATGCTAAAGCAATGACCATAGGGTCACGGGACGTAAGGCTTCCCGTCCGTTCAGCCGTACAAGTACGTAAGCTACATATTGAACATTGCACACTGGAAGATGAACCTTTTGTACGGAGAAATTGATGCTTTATAAATGAGCAATACTAAGTCGGACATTCGTGGCTTCTATGGGAATATTCGACCGCCTTCTGGGACGGTTGTTGTGAAGAGGCTGCGTCATCCACAAAACACTGACCGGCCTAGCTTGTACAGCCGTCGGCAGGCAGTTCCCTAGCTCAGCACAAACTTCGAACGCCAGCCGATGGGATATTTCTATGACGAAACCGAGATTACTTGCGGGACGGTCAAGCTAGGAGGAACGTGCGGTATATGAAAGAAGGGCGGTCTGCACTCGCCCTTGATGTGTCTGAAAGGACGCAGATCAGTGGCACAGAAGTGTCCGAGGTACATAATACATGTCGCCGGCGGACGGCAAGGAATCGGCCTGGGAACACCCCCAACTAGTTCACCTACAATCAAAGTAGAACGTTATAAAGTATGATTTATAGGACTCAGTGAATGGATTCTGGCCTCACTGCAGGGAAGCGACTGCAGAAAACAGACGTATATCTCACCGCCACCCCCAAGCATCAATCTGACCGGCAGCTGTTTCAGCGCGAGAGCGAAGGGATGAATGGATGAGTTACTGATATAGACCGGCCGAACTTTCCAGCCCCCGGAATGAATTGAAGAGGATAAGCTACTCACTACGGATCAAGCACTGCTTTTCTTTTCGATTTCCCCTATGATGGAGCTGACTCCGTTGTTTTGGCTCATGCTGTACGCTGAATATACCGCACCCTATTGCTGTTGCTGCTAACCAGGCAAGGGGCTGGCATCTTGTCAGACGGATCCCACGTCTTTATGGATACATGCGAATGAAACCAATCGCCGTACCAGAGAACCCTCAGATGCGATCGGATTGTGTCAGCGTGATAATACCCACCATTGGCGCACCCGTAGATCTCATACCTCGGCTCCACGCAATGCTGGACAACCACCCCAGGGAGATTATCATTGTCACAACAGCAGCTTTAATCGGAGAATTGAAAGAAGTTCTCCAGCAATTCATTCTGACGGAGCAAATGCGCAAAATTCAGGTTCTCGACATTCCGTTACCCAATAAAAGAAACCAGCTCGCTCGCGGTATTCAAGTAGCCACAGGAGAGATCATTGTGCTAGCGGACGATGATGTTTAACTGGAGTAAGGACCTTTTACGACAAGTGCTCGGCGTCTTGGAATTGGAGCCCAAAGTTGGTGGCGTCACAACGCTGATAGCAGCACACGGCTTGGACGCTCGAGATCCAGAAACGATCACGGTGTGGGAAGCTCTTGAGTCTCGACGCATGAGCATGCGCAATATCGACATTGCAGCCTCCAGCTGGCTTGATGGTAGTCAAACAGTTCTTACTGGGCGGACTGCAGCTTATCGAGCCCGTATCTTAAAAGACCCAGAGTATCTATCTGCTTTTACAAACGAGCACTGGCTTGGGAGATATCGCATGCATTGCGGCGATGACCAATTCGCTACCCGCTGGCTGTTGAATCACGGTTGGGAAGGTCGTATCCAGACAGGAGCTACGATCTATAGCGAGGCCCTCTGCGACAGCCGGCATATCAAACAGACCCTACGATGGGCAAGAAATGGGAAGATCTCGAGTGCGAAGCGGATTTTCTCGAAACGCATGTGGAAAGAGTCAGTTATCCCATGCCGTCTTACGTTCATAAGTTCAATAATGACAAAGCTACCAGATACCCATGGCTATCATTACTTACAGCTCAAACCGTTGTCGCCATGATAATTCAAATATGGCGTCTCTCATTTCTGGTGTATAGTTTCTCTGACCCATGGCTTCTAATTGAAAGGCTTTTCCGCCCAAGGTAAAGAATCTGGCCCTGATGCTGCTGATTGGACATCGCTAATCCATCAAGAATAACGTTTTTGCTCGGGTTCTACATACCAGTATTTCTTGAACATATTGCATACGGAATTGCTCACAGATGGTATCTCAGGCATTTAGGGGCCCAGATCGTGAAGGATTTCTTCCAGCACTATTTTGTTACTTTCTATACAACGATAACACTTCATGCAGTAAGTTTCAGCCTAAGGATTGACTAGCGCCAGTATTGATATGTTATAGAATCATTGGGGCTCCCGGGACGTTGATTGATGCGAAACAATAATACATGCGCTGCCAGGAAAGTTGAAAGTGTTATCGACAATTATGCTCATTCCAACACCAGGCGGGCACGTTGGAGGATTAACCCTTCAAAAACCCCCATAGCAAATACTGCTTTATGCCTATATCATAGTATCCCATACCAATTCTGACATAAAAGTAGTAGGAAATAGTAGGATATCAAATTTAAGAACAGCTGCCATCTCCTTTCTATATTCGAAATAGCTCTGTTTCACCCCGGCATTAGATACTAAAACAATTACAGAGTAAGTTGATGCAGCCTGAGGACCAGCATAGAATACTTCGATGGACTAATAGACTTCATATAATAATACCAAAGGAAATCAATGGAATTAGAAAGTGATGGATGATTAAACACCAGTGGAGCTTAACCTCCGGGGAAAGCGCGTCGCGCGAGCTGATACACAAAAGTCATCCGCTGCGACTACAAGCTAAGCATGTAGACAATGCAAGGAGACAGGTCCTTGCGTTAGCCTAAACTCAAGTATGCTACACGATAGCTCAACTCCCAGGAACAAGACCAATCACTTCTTTCTGTGATCTGTGATCTCATGCATGCCTTAATCAGGACTGCCGATGCATTGACAGAGTAGCGGTGAGTCAACAAGGGAGGTATCAAATTAGCTAATGTTCATTGCCAAAGAATTGTCTATGAAGGGTCTCAGATATAGTAGCTTACAGATTACAGGTCAAAATGGGTTCAGTTCGACGATCGCCTGCTCTTCTTACGCCCTATACAAAGAAAGGTAGCGTGGAAGGCTCATAAAAAGGGAGGTGGGGGAGGGAAGGCAGTCTATCACAGCAGCCTCTAATCTCTGCAGCCGAGATGTGGATGTTCAATAAACATAAGGATCTGGGTATCGCGTATAGGACGCCACACAGCAAAGACTTTTCTAGAAAGGGCTCACCATTATACTCCTATCTGTTGCAGATTAAAGTTACCGGTGACTGGAGGAAGCTGTCATTGAGCAACTTCTCATGCTTATCGGTTATTGTAGACATTTCTGGAAAGACATACAGTGCATATGATGTTTCAACTGCAGGCAAGCATTCGTAGTAACCACCGATGGCCACGTTGAGATACTACAGAATATAGGGATGCAGGGCCTCTCGCCCCCATCCCTTGATGTTTCTTTACAGCCGTGTATACCTACCTCGCTTTCTGTTATCCTTATCCTCATCGAGCGGCCGCTGTATTTTCAAAATCTACATACGATCATATGGATGTGCTTTTGCTTGTGTCAACATCTCAATAATCTCAGATCATTGAACAAGAGAACACGTACTATAAACAAACGTTGGAGCGCCTGACAAAAGACAGTAATGGGTTCCAACTGTCTTGGAGATATGCCGAGACAATGGCTACAGGGCAACTGTCAGAAGGTGTGTATGATTGGCGCGGGCTAGGTGGGTAAGTCGGGACCAGCAGTTACTACCTCCATGGATGACCATATATACTAATTGCTCATATTTCTCTTGCTTCAGGTGCATTGACAGCAATAGCTTTGGCTTCTAAAAACCCCTCTGTGCAATTCAATGTGGTCGACAGGGATGCCTCACTAATTGCGGTCTGGAATTCAGACCACATCCCCATATTTGAGCCTGGCCTCGAAGATATAATATTTGAGGACGGCGAAGCCAATGACAAAGCACACTGTGATTCGCTGCACAATCATCAAGGCCGGCGGACAAGAAGGCTTGCTAACATCTTCTTCTCTGCTGATATTTGCAAGCACATTCTCGACGCTCATATTATTTTTATCTGCGTTGACACCCCGTCAGAAGTTACTGTAAGTTCCACCATATAAGATTTTGGAACATGTTAGAGGTTCTAAATGACTAGTTTCCTGATAGCGATGAGATTAGAGGGCTTGACTTGAAGAATTTAGAGTCTGCCATCAATTCAATTGCGCAGCTATCAAAGGGGCACAAAGTCATAGTCCAGAAAAGTACTGCACCTAGCGGCATTTGTCGATGGATAAAAAGCACGGTGTGTACTTCTCTCCTTGAAAGTATTAGAGTAGCGATTAAGGATATAAATGACTAATTAATCCATAGTTAAAAGAAACCGCTCCCCCAACGGCTTCATTTGACATAGTATCGAGTCCAGAGTTTCTAGCTCAAGGCACCGCTATGCAAGATCTATTGAACCCTAATCGGGTGGTCATTGGCTATGAACCAGCAGCGGATGGCACTACTCCTGAAGCAGTGAAGACTCTGACACGCTTGTATACTCCATGGGTGCCCAAGGAACGGATTGTCACGACCAACACATGGTCATCCGAACTAGCCAAGATTGCCTCCAATGCCCTTATTGCCCAGCGCATCAGCAGCATAAACTCCCTGAGTGCTGTCTGCGAGGCGACTGGCGCAAGTGTCACCGAGATCTCTCGGATTGCTGGACTGGATCCACGGATTGGACCGTTGTGTCTGCGAGCAGGATTTGGATTTGGTGGCTCTTGTTTGCGTAAAGATGTTTGCTGCTTGATCTATCTAGCTCGTGAGCTCGGATTGTACGATGTGGCTGAGTACTGGCGGGGTGTGATCCAAATCAATGACTCTCTATCCGCACGCATCACGCAACGAATAATGTCATTTCTGCCCCCTGATGTGACAGGGATGGAGACGAAGGCAGCCGTCCTTGGTTTCTCTTTCAAGAAAAACACTACAGACATCCGAAATACTACCGCGACCAATCTCGTTCGAGACTTGCTCGGCAGTGGAATACGAGTCAATATCTTTGATCCGCATGTTCCAAGACAACGCATTGAAAAGGCATTGATGTTACAGTGTGGTGCCGCTCATGTGAATACCGCTGTGGTAGAGCGCGCAGAGGCGGCATGTGAGGGTTGCAGCATTATTGTGTTGCATACCGACTGGGATGAGTTTCTAGGCACCAGTGTGGATTGGAAGGGAATTGTTGCTCGGATGCGGGAACCAAAGTTGTTCCTGGGGCCTCCTGGGTCATTCGACGCATACAAGATGAAGCAAAATGGGTTTACTGTTCTGGAGGTGGGGAAGCCATTATCAAGGGAGATGAACTGAGCATTGGCGTAACGGTAAACTGAGAAGTGACAGCACCTTTATTGTCTTAGTGAGTGGGTCCGAAGACAATTCTTCAGTTCAATGTTCTTTTCAATGGACGATATCTCTTATGCGTGTACGATGGTAGATAATGTAGTCTATAGGGAGCTACGGCAACTTTCCACCTAGTGCTACTCCATACCAATGGTAGTATTCTAGACCTGGAAATGGTTGACTAGTCGGTGGGTATTGCTATTTACCTAGAAACAAGAAGATCATTATGATTATTACTTCTGTAGAGCTATGAAAGATCTAAACGCACTACTACCCGAAGGGATCATACCTTTCTATTGACCTAGTTGGTCGTGGGCTGTGATTATATACATGGTAGAAGCGTTTGCACTCATCATTAGCAATTTAATATGTAGTATGTACTGGGGGAGGAGGAAGAAGAACCGAAGGGGAGAAAACAATTAAAGACCCCATTCACCTTCGTAACAGCTGCTCCGAATTTGAAGGCTGATACAATATTCACAAAGTGAGATTTGTGGTGCCACTCTCTATATCTATACATTCCATTTCTCTTGCTCCTCTTCAAGATCCTCCAGTGACCATCTGAGACGAGTGAAATCGCGATACAAGGTCGTTGACTCTGGAGTTGTTCGCAAGCCCTCCTCTATGAGCTCACGAGCATCTTCGAGATCTTTTAACTTGGATTCACGCTCATAGCGAACGAGTAAACATTTAGATAGCTCACGGAGACATATATTACCCCGGTATTCTGTTGGTAGTCGGAGTTCCTTTGCCTCTTGAGCCACCTCAATTGCCTGATGTAAATAGCCTGGCTCGTCGGGATACTTCAAAGCAGCTGTCATCAACCAGTAAGACAATGTGTGAAGGGCATTGGAATATCTTGGATTCTTCTTTGACATGCCATGTATGGCCTCCTGTGCACATTCCACAGCCCTGCGTAAATCATCTTCTTGGGGCTGCTTCGCCCTTTCGAATCGGTACCCAAACCAGATTGCCAAAGAATGACAGAATAGCTGTTTGTCTGCCTGGCTCAGATCGGGGGTGTGAGCCAGGGCGTTCTCGGTATCTTCAACTGCCTGATTGGTGTCGTCAAGGTTAGCAAAGCCAGCGCGCTCATGCAATGCCCTAGCTCGGTCAATGCTACCGCATGGTGTCACCTGCATCGCTCTTTCGACAACTTCCGACCAAGTATCCCAGAGCTCACTTTCGAAAGGCTCACTGTAGTGATAGAAGCCGAGTGCCCGGCTTAGGTTAACAAGCATCCTACCAAGCCTAGGGTCTGTTTCTGGCGTCTGCTCGATCACGTCAGAGGCAATTTCTGTTGCGCAAGTAAGGTCGGCATGTGAACCGAATTTAATGAATCTCAAGACTAGGCCTTGGCACATGTTGTTGAGAGCGTCTGTCATGTCCCTACTTCCTAACTGCACCATGCTCCGGAAAAGCCTCGCCTCTGCCTCAGACGGAAAGCCAGAGCAACAGAGCATGGACAATGCGACATCAAAGGATAGGCCATAATATTTTTCTTGAAGCCTTTGGAACACTTCGATAAGGGTTTCAGGATTTCTTTCCTCTTTGGTATTCATTTCGTGCAGATGAAAAAGCCACTGACAAAACGCATATTCCCCAAGCGGAAATGTGTCCCAATACCATTGTTGATGCTCGAGCTGGTCATAGAGAGGAAGGTGGAAGAAATCCCCAACAGACTTTATCTCCGGTCGCTGATTAAATGGGGCGGAGATATAACGCATGCAACTGTTGAGTATCGTCTCATGGCAGGACACAGTGCTGATCGATTGTAGCCAGGCGGGTCTTTTATCCTGCTTCGGGCTCTCTTGGCCCTCCTGTTCTGGTAGAAGATAGTCCTTAACGGTTTGATGAATGAAGTAGATACGGTCATTATATGTCACCAGTAAGAAGTGACATCGCTCCAAAATGTCTGCTTTGAATAAAAGTGGGTTGAACTCATCTCCACTCTCAAAAGCCTCGTCATCCATACCAACCTTTAAGGCTATTTCCATTTCCTCGACAGTTAAAGGCCTCTGCGCGGCCAGGACAATCGCAAGCATAGCTCTCACTGCGTCACGATCTTCTTCATCTATCGCGTTCAGTAGCTCAGTGTAGGCAGCATAAACCGATTCTGGGATATTCTCGAAATCTTTGATCCAAGCCCTCACCGAGCTTGTCATGCCCAGCTTCTTCTTATCCAGAACATCAAAAAGCAAGTTGACGAATAGATACGTTTGATCCCCTTCAATGCGTTTTCTGAGCCTTTCTCGAAGTTGAAGACAAACGGACTCATCTCCGATCTTCCGTTTCTGGATGAACTTCTCCAGACGTTGACTCCCAACAGACTGGATATCCCTCGAAAGAAACTCCTGACATTGCTTATCCTGATCGAGGTCCAAAATAGCATTCATCACAGGGCCGAAGTCGTCAATAATGTCACTTAGTGGACGGGCAGTGCAGAAGAGCTTCATAGCGGGGATATTGAAACCATGCAAGTGCTGAAACAATTTCTCCCTTGAACCAGGCTCACACTCATCTAAGGCATCAAGAAGGATAACGATACTATTCGGTTCAGCCTTCAGGAGCACTTTATGAAGAAGCCCCCATAGAAGACGGAAATTCGATCGTATGTCGCCCGGGTCTTTGTTGAGAATATCTTCTGCCACATGGACAATCCAGTCCGGACGATTCTGAAATAATTGATACATAATGTGACAAAGAGCAATATTCATGTTATTTTGCTGACCACCGCGATCTTTGAAGAAGAATGAACAAACTGCAGGTCCACCTGGCTTTGATAACGTTTCGTGGAGAGATTTGGCCAGCACCGATTTTCCAGTACCGGGGTTGGCCACCACAAGCAGAGAATGAGTCGATCCGGATTCCCATTCTTGATAGATTCTATGGCCACGGAAACCTTCGGTTGTCCCAGGCAAAGGATGACTGATAGCCTCGTAGTAGGCATGATACGCATCGATATTGAGATGGGCTTGGTCGAGCCTAAACTTCGCGATAAGCTTCGACTGTTGCCTGACTGCAAATTGTCTGTTGAGTTCTGATGCCAAGCCATCCTGCATTTGTACTGAGGTAGATCTGATGCTTTTGAGTACGTCCAATACTTGTGTGCGAAAATCGATCTTCATGTACTTTTGCACCTCGCTTTCAGCTTCCTGGATATCCTTCAGTCTATCCTCCCAGGATGAGCCCAGCCCCACAAAAGTCTTGGAGAGAGTTCTGAACTTGTGATGGCATTCTCGCAGAGTCAAGAGTTGAAATTCAATAATGAGCCTGTATAGCTCTATGATTGCCTCTCTGAGAGGGATCTTGAACTGCCGGAACTGCTGGGGAGACTGCCAGATTTCGGATTTCAGAAGCTCAACCAAGTGGGCATACCATGGAAGTTTCGCAATGATGTAGAGGAGGCCATTATGATTCGCATTGATCTGATCACTGTATTTGACAAGCTTCGTTCTATCAGTCCTCATCTTTGAAGCGATGTCATGATCTAGATTGACCTACCGGAGTTAATACTAAACATACCCCCGTCCAGGCAATAGAGGCAGGTGGGTAAACAGTAAGCACGCTCGAGATTCCGTCTTTGGTCGAGTTGAACACTTTGGAGAAGGTGTCAAATGCTTTGATATCTGCTGCGTTATCGCTGCTTTCCTTGACCAATTCCATCATCAATTTCTGGCGACTTTCCCCGTCTAGAGCGGCAATTTGACGTGTTAGAGGCATGTGATTGTTGTCGACGTCGCCAGCGTCAGAGTCCGTTGTAGCCGACGGGAGTTTTGAGCGGACCAATTTCTCATATTCCATCACAAGTCTCTCCAAGCCCTTGCTGCGTATGCGACCGTAGGCCTCTTCCCAAATGTCTTCTACATCTGGTATTTCCTGTTCATCAATAAGGGTAAAGATAGGATCGCTCTGTCCCTTGGACTCGATTTCACCGGGTTCATCTTTGGAGCTATGGCGATCAGATTGTGAGCTCTCCACTTCCTTTCCTGCTTCGCCAAAGGACTGGTTTGATTTCTTGACGGGAGTTGATGCTGATGGTTGGGAAGTGTCGTTTCCAAGCAAACCTTTGTGTTTGCTTCTTTTTCTTCTCCTGAATCGTGATTTGAGACAGGCGCGCCACTTGGGTTGACCCATTTTAGGGCAATATTAGGAAATGCAGATGATAGAGGCGAGAAAGAATGAGGATGCACTTGGAGAGGAAAGAGCAATCGCTGTGAAATTAAGTACGGACGCCCTGCCATTTTTGCTTCTTTTAGCTAGCACTACGAACGATAGCCCAGCGCGTATATCCTTGTCTATATGTGACGTGTTCCTATTCGTGGATTCTTAGTGTGGTCTACTGTACGGCTGACTTGCACTCAGAATGGCCAAATCGTGCTCACTCTCCCCATAGAAAATTCCAACTCGATACTGGATGTACCTACAACTGATGGAAATCGGCCAAACATTCCGCCAATAGAAGAAAGAGCTCGTCTTGCGTATCCCAGTAGCCGCATATTCATATTAAAGCTGATTGGGATAAATGTATTGATGCTGGCTTCTCCATAGCCACTTCATCAGAGTAGGCTATCAAACAGTGTCGGAAGACTCTGAACAGAATAAGGCATTCATTCCCTTCTTCTATCAGCCGCTTATTATTGCACGAAAAACTTTCAGAGACCCACAGCAGTCTTGTGCTTGAGTATTTTAAGTCCCGCCAACCGTCGTCGGTTCTATCGCCCATTTTCAGCTCTGGCGAGGACAATCTAATGCGGGGTAACCCTGGCGACGAGTAATTGGGCCGCAAAATGATGCGTTTGCCTACCTCCACTTTGCACCCAATGACCGAACAGAAACACCCAGTGCTGGTCGATCTTATCCCTGGTGGGTAACCATTTCTGCACCAAATCGGCCCTTTCGCTCAAAAGGGACATCCACGGGTCCTTGTATATGTTGTACATCGTTTCTGAATAGCGAACTTCCTGGTCTCCCACGAATGCAAGTGATGATACCTAATTTATTCTACCGACATGCTATAGCTTACCCCACGTGAGCCTGAATCTTTCCTCTTGCCATGGCCCACTGCTGCTTCGCCACATCCCAATTGCTAAGGTACCTCCTAGTCAAGGGAAAAGTGACCCTCTTCGACTCTCCAGGCTGAAGATGCACTTTCTCGATTCCGCGCAGGATATTAATAGGTGAAGAACCACCCGTAGTAGCCTGAAGAAGGTTCAAGTACAGCTGGGGAACAGCAGCACCAGCTACTCGTCCTGTGTCCTTTACCGTTGCAGAAATTCAAGTTCTGGAAGGAACACTTCTAGACGGCGAGGCTCCGTGCTTAAGGAGTCGGAAGGACAGATAGGTGAAAACGGAAGCACAAGCTTGGGATACGAATTGATGACTGACGACTCTCTTTGTTTTTTTGCGCCTTATGGCTAGGATCTTACATAGTGGGGCTCGATCAAGTACGAGAATACGAATTGTATTATACTGTATTAAACGACGATTTAAACAGCGAGTTAATGGCTGGCACCTCCTAAAGCGAAAATGTCCCTTGAAATGATAACTTAAAGAATAGTTTGGTCAGAACCAAGCAGGACAAACATCTCACCAGCTATACTATTCCCAGTACCCATAAGAAAGCCTTCTGTAGACAAGTTCCGTCATCAGTCATAAACCTGTCTCCTGATTCTCCTTCCATATCATCTATGCTAGAATCATTCTAGACCCTGTCAAAGATAACTGGACACGGAATCCTCGTTGTAGGGCCCCTTCAA